TACTAAGCAATGATTGTAAAATTTTCTTGCTCAAGGAAACAACGGCTCGCCCCTGACTGGGTTTGAACCATGCGGACATCAATCCTTAGAAAACTAGTCTGACACATTAAAACTTGCAGTTATGGCAGCCACCAGTAAAGAGCCTGGTCAGACTGCTGGTCTGGCTATAGTAAATTATATACTGATGGCAACCCTTTGGTCCCAGCAGGCTAGGGGGTGGGGTTTATGGGTCAGCTTCTGTGTTTGGCTAGTCAGCAGGTATAGATTCTTGCCATTGTAGTCTTATATTCAGTCAGATAATCAGAAGTCTTTTTTTCTATGTTTCTTTTTCCTTGGTTTTAAAAATGTATAATAATATTGTTTTATCTATTCTTACAATTTGATGTAAATTTTTATGTAAGGGAATGGGCTAACGCGATAGTTTATTTTTTAAAATTATTTTTATTATTTTTATCATTATGCATTACGGCTTATTTTGGCATTAAGATTGGTTATGGTAAAATTAAATGATGCTTTGTATGATTTAATCAGAGAAAGGGAAAACAATATTTAAAAATATATTGGTTAAGTGAATAAATATAACATTTTGCTTGAAAATATGTAATTAATTTATTTAAATATATACAGCAAATAATTAAAGAGAATAGTAAAATATACAATGTAAGAATTCCATAGAAATTACAATTGAAAGAAAGTGCTAATATTACAAATTTGAGAATGTGCTAGAATTACACATCTGGAAAATCCAGAAGTTACACATGTATGTAAGAAATGCTAAAATTAAACAAGAATTACACAAAATATTGAATAACATGTGTCAGAAAATGTTGAATTCACATGTAAGAAAATGTTGAAATTACAACAGTCCTGTTAGAAAGCATTATAAAGCTTCTCAATATGAAGGATTATGCTAAAATTGCAAATGTATGAACTGATATAACAAAAGTAACATGTGTAAGGGAAATTCATCAAGTGCATTGACTAGTACAATGTAAAAAGTTCTACGATAAAGGAAGAAAAAATACTACATGTGTAATAAAAGATGCAAGGATTATAAAATGGTGTGATTACATGTACATAATTATTGTGTAACATGATGCAAAACCTACACATGTATTATAAAAGCCAGAGGACAATTTTTAATGTGTAAAATACATAAACTGAAGTGACAAATTGCCATGACGGTTTGTTTTTTGCCATGGTAGTTTTCAAAGAAAATGGAATAAAATATCAAAACTTGGCAACAAACATGTTGAAATTTTGTATTAACTAACATCAACTTTTGTTTCATGTGCCATTTTATAACATTAATATTTATAAAAGTTTCTATAGAATATTTTATGTACATATGTAATAATTATGTGTGTCATAACCTTTGAACTATTTACATTTGATAGACAGAATTTGTTGTGTTTTTTAAGAAGATGGAATTAAATTAGATGCTGATAAAACTGTGTTCTTATTTTATATGTTACTAATGTTTCTTTTCAGATGAATCCCCTGAAATGTTATAATTTTAAAATGAATACTTTATATATAAAGTCCTGATGAATTCTGCATAATATTTAAGGACCAATCAAATTAAAGCATTTTATTTCACTGTCTTATTATATTGCTGAGTAAATTTCGTTGTATTGAAAGCCTGAAAAGCCGTACTGTGTGTAGGAATCTTTTTTTTTCTTTAATCTATGTGAACAATAATAATGAAATATTAAAAAGAAAAGGCTCAGATGCAATTAATCTCAGAGAAAAAAACTAGATATTTTGTATCCTTTTATATGCCTGCAATTATATTGACTCTTTATGTGACCTGAAGGGAGTAAAGCAGCCCTTTATACATTTGTACATACATGTACTCGTAACTGCACAGTTGGACCAAACTCTATACTGTCAACCTAATTTTTCTACCCATATTTAACATTGGAATCATCAGAAATGTGTTCCAAATTCAAAACAGGACATGTCTTTTTTTACAAATTTAGCAGGCCAAACTTTACAAAATAGGGGGTAAACGTACAGGTTTTGATTCTGAATAAATAGCAACAGAATGATGGTTTCATCTTTTACATCAAAAAGGTGGGAAAAATGGAAGAAATTTATTAACAGACATCTGCGCTATTATATGTTTATTGATTTTAACCAAAATATATTTTAATGACACATCTGAGGTTCTGTTATTGAATTGAGGTTGACAATTTTTCTCTTAGAATAATTATACCTAGAAAAAAAATGCCAAACACAACAGTGCAGGGAAATAATGTTGTAATAATAAGGCCAATATTTATTAGATTTGCACTGTACCAAGATGGCCCTAGGAGAATTATTGTCTAATATATATATAAGTAAATAGAGTTAATACTGTACTGATAATTCAATTAGAATCATTACTTTTCTTCGTTATTTTCCCAGAAAAAAAATTAATTTGCTAGAAAAATATCACGGTATTTGATGGATTCTGATGTGCTGTTATTAAGATATTCCACCAAAAAAATAAGCTATATATATATAGGCTTAACAGACTTTTTTTAGCAATTAACCTTAGCTTGCTGGATTTGAAAAGTGATTAGCCTTAGCTACATGTATGTTACCACTGTGCTGTCTGACCAGGTTCTATACTGTTCATAACTTAATTTTTTTCATTTTGTCATTGAAATCCTTTAAAAATTTTAATGAACTATTTGAAATTCAAAGCTTGGCAAAACCACAACACAAATTCAGCAGGTTAAGGATTCAATAAGCATTGAGATGACAAAGATTTTTTACTGCTCACGGTCATATAGGTGTTTATTTCATTTCTATAAGACATGCAAAGTTAGGAAAAAATATGTCAAATCTTTAAAATTGGATTTTAATTGGTCAATGGATGTTTTTCCTTAAAATAGTGACATGCAAAATACATCACATAATGTGTGAACATGAAGAAATAGGCTTAGATATTAATTATATTTCAATGAAAAATTAAAGTATCACTGAATGAAACTTGTTTATTTTGTGCATAGCTGTTAGAAATGAGTTTCAGCTGGCTAAATTGTATGATTTGGAAAATAAAGGTGAGCATTAAAATAGACGGGGAAAAGTTTTGCATGGTTACTCTGTATTAAAATACAGCATATCATTTTAAAACAAATGAACATTTAAGGATTAGATCATAAATGGTGGATTGGATAGTAATTTTTATGACAGCAATGTCATTCAAAATGACAGAATGATATTGAAGTGCTTTTTATTAAATATCCGATGGGGTTTTTTTTAACATTGAGCTTGATTTAGGAATACTGTTAAAATTTCACAAGGACATTGTTTTTGTTATTTTTTTTGTTTATATGTAAATAAATAAAGGATAAACCTTGTCTTTAAAGGCCAGATCAGTTACCCATCTGTTTCCTATTACATACCTTTCAAACTGAGTTATTTGAGATTTTATATTTATTTTTGACTATATATTTTTAAATACCATTATACCATAATTATACTGCTGTATTTTGATACAAGTTTAGACATATGTTTCTTTTTATAAATATATATTTGACACAGTCTATAGTGATTTTATGTTGTAAATTTTTCTATATATATTATATTTATATTTTTTGAACAATTTAGATTTCATTGTACACACATTGTTGTGAATTGCTCTCAGACATGCATGAGTTTCACCCACTTTTTTATTGTGACCAACAATTTACCAACAACACCTGTGATTGGCTTCTTCAACCAATGTTTCTGATTGGATGTATTTATATCATATGATTTATGTGACAGTTCGTTTCATTGGTCCTTTTTTTGTCTGCTAGACATATAGACCATTTTGATTGGCTGACGAGAATTTGTGCTTTAATTATTGTATATGTTTTACCAATTATTGGTGTAGATGTCTGATGAAATGTAGTACAAATTGTAAAATATATGTTTGACCTAGCTTCTATCTGGTCTGTAGAAAATTGTGCAATTTTTGTTGTTATTTTCTTTTTTGCTTTCTCAATTTCCAATTCCTTTAAGTCCATTTTCTGTCAGCAGCCATCGTTTTTTCTCCATGCTCAAGGATGGTTGCAAGATATGATTTTTAATGAGAATTGATTCTTTTTTTTTTTTAATTTTGATGTTTCAAGCTTTTTTTAATGAAATTGGTACATGGATTTATTTCCTTTACTTTGTGATCCACCTGTATAAAAAGAAATCAATAAGGGTAGTCAGACGGAAATGATACTCCATGTGGATGATTGACTGGTTAATTTTTGTATTTAAATTTCATTGAAATCCCTTCAGTTAACAATGGACTTTTCCAAATGAAATGCACTGGACAAGTTCATTATACAAATTACAGGGGTTTAATGGCAAAATCTGTATTGTGATGTCCTTGAACTTATCCATCCTCTTTAATTCAGTTATTATACATAATAGAAATAAAATATTTTTCATTGAAATAGCTTTATACATGTATATGAATTTTTTTGCATTGTATCTTTTGTTGTATCTTTTCGTGATATGCTGAGAAAAAGTCTTATCCAGTCCATTATCTACAAATCTTTCCAAATTGTGTCCCCTTTGCCCCACCCAGTTTGTTGGCTTATAAAAAGTATTGTTTGATTTTACCTTTGGGGGTCAGTGGCATTAAAATGTTAAAATTGTTTGTGTTTTTATTTGTAGAAAAAAATCTTGCATTGTATTTATTCTGTGAAAATTTTTAGTGGTGATAATCTAGTAAATAACATATAGATAGTTTAGTTGTTTATCTTATTTAATCTTTAGATAAACAATTTTGTGCATTTAAGTGTGATTTAGTCTGATTAGTTATTAACAGATCTGTTTCATTTTAGATATGTTAAGGTAAAACTTTTGTGGGTTTTTTTAATGATAATTTAATAACAATAAAAAAAACATTTGATTTAAAAATTAACAGTAATAATTATTTTGTTCTCAATTTTCTTTTTGCATATAATAAATTTCTTGTAAATTTTACAAATTCAACAAACATTAAAATATTTATATCTGAATTTTTGCAGTGCCAAAACCTGTCAACCATAAGCTGGGTTTACCTCATTTGTTGGAGCGTGGGGACCGGGAAGTATCGGCACCCGTTCTCCGACATCTTGTCAATGACGGACCGGAAACCAATGATATGGAGCATGAGCTACCGAGATCCGATGAAATAGAAAACATTCCAGAAACAGTAGATGAAGAGGAAGAGGATATCTGCTTCACAGCACACCACCATCAACATCATACCCCACATCATAACATAGGGTAAGTTCCACATCATCATATATATTATTCCCACTGATTATACTTATGGTTTGGTTAAGTCAGTATCACCTTTTACTGCATGCCATCACAAATTTCAAACCTGGATGAGCCAACATCATAACGATTGGTAGTTAATTTCTCATTAACTCCATGCCATCTAAATATCATAATTATCCACATCATAACAATTGGTAGTTAATTTCTCATTAACTCCATGCCATCTAAATATCATATCCACATCATAACGATTGTTAGTTTATTTCTCATTAACTCCATGCCATCTAAATATCATATCCACATCATAACGATTGGTAGTTAATTTCTCATTAACTCCATGCCATCTAAATATCACCAGATGTAGGTTAAGTCAGTAGTCAATATCTCATTTATAGAAATATGATATGTGCACAATATCTGTTCCTTTTTTTGGGTCAGATGAGGTGAGTTAAGTAACCTCATTTGGTCAGCTTTTGAATATTTCTGTGATAAACTTGCTGGCTGAAATACCTTATTGTCAGCAACAAATGATATATTTGTAACCTTGTATTGCCTGTATTAACAAATTTTGTCACTGGAGGTAACAGTAAAAAATAAAGTTAAACAATTGGACACCATCTTCAGTAACTTTTTTTGAGAAACCAATGTACTATTTAATCTGGAGAGTAAATTGCAGGACCATTATTGTCCTCTAGTTGTTATCAAGCTTGTACATTCATTATGTACATGTACAGGTTAATGAACGGACATTCTCACTCGGAGACTACCCCTGTTATAACAACAGATGTTGATGCTGTAGAAGATGATTACAATCCCCAGACAACATCAACACAAGCCGAGATTGTAGAGGTGCAAGATTCTACTATAGAGCTGTCTGGAGATTACTACCCACCACCACCACCCCCTCTGCCCATCTCACACGATCTGTCCCTGTCACCAGGGTCAGGTCAGTCTACACCAAGGAAAGATATGAGGTATGTTCTTTATGGAGTGTAAATGTCGTAAGGTGTTAATGTCACAAGGGGTAAATGTCACAAGGGGTAAATGTCACAAGGGGTAAATGCCTTGTTGTATAAATGTCTAGGTATAAATGACTAGATTAACTTATCATGAGGTATAAATGTCATGAGGTGTAAATATCATGAGGTGTAAATATTATGTGCTACTAAACTGCATGAACTGCCATGTTCATGCAGTACCTTCCTGGTTAAACAAAAAAGAAAGACACAAAAAGTTAAAATGACACAATCATGATGGTTTAATTGGTAACAGTTTGTTTTCTATCATTTATAGCCACTGTTTTTTCTGATGATAAATGTAAGCTAGCCTTTTAGTTTTATAGAACTAAATTTGTGTGATTTTCAACTTTAAGGAAAATTATTATTGCAGCTCTTAATTTAACTTGGACTTTATATATTGTTTATTTGCCATTAATTAAAATATAATAGTAGTTTTACCTTTAATGAATCTTTAATGCGCGATTGTTAATTGTAATTGAAAGACTGGTGGCATAGTCTCATCATTACCACTGCAATATAAGGTAGTGTACTGAGAGTTAATTGTAATTTATACCTTACCCCTATTGGAACAGAAAATGATTAGCCTTTGCCAGCAGTATAGTGCAAAGTCACCCTGTACATCCTGGCAGTCTGACCTGACTCTATACCATTGGCTGACTAATTTTTTGTCTCGATTCCCGAAAAATTGATAATGGACAGTTCTATAAATGGAAGCTGGACAAATACATTTAAACAAATTCAGCACTGGAAACCACTTGCCTCTCACTGCTGTTGGTTCAAGTCCCAGGAGAACTTCTGTTGAGGAAACTATTCAGCTAGCTTACTGAAAGTCTGTGCATGGTTCTACCCAGGTGCCTGTTTGTGTTTGAAATAGTGCATTTTAGGGGAAAAGCTGGGAATTTGCCATATGATCTATACTGAGTTGGTGAGATGTGAAACCCAAAGCATCCAAAAAGAAATTCATTACGCTAAAGTATATTTATATTAATAAGTATCTTGTATAAATGTACAGGTCATCAGCTAGTGGATTAAACAGCAACATTAGTACATTATCTGAGACTAGAACAGAGGGTTCTGAAGATGGGGACAGGAGAAAAAGTACCAAGGTTTGTATATACAGTACTTGTCTGTAGATACCACTTGAAGAAAATTGTGAATAAAAATGTTTTTCAAGGTCAAATAAGAAATTTTAGTTGTATTTACTACAAAGAAATTATGTTTTGAAGGAGTTAGGGAGCACTCTTTACTTAGTGTAATATTCTTCCTCTGATGTGCTTGACTTTAGAAAGAAGAAAAAGTGAAGCTGGCTCTTGTTTTTGTATTTTCTGATCGCAAGATCAGTAAAATACATAGCTAACATCCACGGTCTAACACAAAATTTCCTAACAGTTCTAACAACGCAAAGTAGTTCTCACTCAGAACTGCTTAAAAACCAGCAATTTAAAAGAAACAATAATTTTTAATGTAGGCAGTTAACAAATTACAGTGCATCAAAAGTTTAGAGTAGTCAATAGAAATATGAGGTTACAATCACAAATTTCGCGGATGAATATCTTTTTACCCAATGAAAAATGTTTGGCTATTTCTGTAAAGCTTAATCAATGAAAATGCTATTTTTAGCTATGTCAATTACCAAATACTCCAGAGCGTAGTACACAAATAAATCTGACTGTCGAGTAGTGGAATATAAACATGTCGTACTGTTTTGTCGAGAAGATTTTCGCTAAATTATTTTCATCAGTGTTAAACAACAGGTTTATCGTGAACAAAATACCTCGAAATTAGTAAGGATTACAAACACGAAATGGAAATTCTGAAATTAGAATTACAATGTATTTGTTTTTATTATAACTACTCAGTATTACTTCACCGTGGTGCAGAGGTAGCGCGCTCGTTTAGGGTGTGAGAGACCTAAGGTTCAAATCCTAGTCGAGGCAACTTTTTTTTTTTGAAGTGTCCTTTTTAGCTCACCTGTCACAAAGTGACAGGGTGAGCTTTTGTGATCGCTTTTCGTCCGGCGTCCGTCCGTCCGTCGTCCGTCCGTAAACTTTTGCTTTAAATGACATCTCCTCATAAACCACTGAGCCAATTTCATCCAAACTTCACAGGAATGTTCCTTTGGTGGTCACCTTTAAAAATTGTTCAAAGAATTTAATTCCATGCAGAACTCTGGTTGCCATGGCAACCGAAAGAAAAATCTTTAAATATCTTCTTTTACAACCCTAAGAGCTACAGCTTAGATATTTGGCATATAACATCTTTAAGTAAATATCTACAAAGTTTGTTCAAATAAAAGCCCGGGGGTCAAAACTGGCCCTGCCCCAGGGGTGTCATTGTTTTTAACTATATGTGTATAGTAAAAACTTTAAAAATCTTCTTTTAAAAAACCCAATGAGCTAGAACTTAGATGTTTAGCATGAAACATCTTCTTATGGGTGTCTACCAAGTCTGTTCAAATAAACAAATAAAAGCCCTTGGGTAAAAATTGGCCCGGGGGTGGGGGGGGGGCCTATATACAGGTGAGCGACCTCAGGGCCATCATGGCCCTCTTGTTTAAGGAAGTAGCCACGATATGCAAGGATAAAGTGTGGCTGTCATAAAAAATGAAAAATGGTTTTTTGATGCAACTCTAGTCATGTGTTAAGCTGCGTAAGATTAATTATAGTATATAAAAATAAACTTATACAGGAAAATACATACAGATAGTCAGTATGATTTAGATTGCAAAGATCAGAAAATACCACAGAGGTTGCAGCCCTTTGATTGAAGAGAAATAATTATATGAGCCGCGTCACAATAAAACCAACATAGTGGGTGTGCGACCAGCATGGATCCAGACCAGCCTGCGCATCCGCGCAGTCTGATCAGGATCCATGCTGTTCGCTATCTGATCTTCTACTTGTTATAGGGTTTGTGAGCAAACAGCATGGATCCTAATCAGACTGCACGGATGCGCAGGCTGGTCTGGATCCATGCTGGTTGCAAACGCACTATGTTGGTTTTGTCGTATTAAAGACTATATACTTTGAAGCTGACAAAAATTATGTTTTACATTAAAGCATATCAAGATGGCTGTGTGTTTTAAAAGTTTAAGAAATGATAATTTATTTTAAAGCAAATCAAATGATTATTATGCCCCCATTTCGAAAAAAAGGGGGTATATTGCTTTGCACTCGTCGGTCCGTCGGTCCGTAGACCAGATGGTTTCCGAGTGATAACTAAAGAACCCTTAGGCCTAGGATCTTCAAACTTGGTATGGTGATTGGTCATGACCAGTAGATGACCCCTATTGATTTTGGGGTCAAGGGGTCAAAGGTCAAGGTCACATTGACCTTGTAAGCAAAAACGGTTTCCGATCAATAACTAAAGAACTTTAAGGCCTAGGAACTTCAAACTTGGTATGGTGATTGGTCATGATCAGTAGATGACCCCTATTGATTTTGGGGTCAAGGGGTCAAAGGTCAAGGTCACATTGACCTTGTAAGCAATAACGGTTTCCGATCAATAACTAAAGAACTTTAAGGCCTAGGAACTTCAAACTTGGTATGGTGATTGCTCATGATCAGTAGATGACCCCTATTGATTTTGGGGTCAAGGGGTCAAAGGTCAAGGTCACATTGACCTTGTAAGCAAAAACGGTTTCCGATCAATAACTAAAGAACTTTAAGGCCTAGGAACTTCAAACTTGGTATGGTGATTGGTCATGATCAGTAGATGACCCCTATTGATTTTGGGGTCAAGGGGTCAAAGGTCAAGGTCACATTGACCTTGTAAGCAATAACGGTTTCCGATCAATAACTAAAGAACTTTAAGGCCTAGGAACTTCAAACTTGGTATGGTGATTGGTCATGATCAGTAGATGACCCCAATTGATTTTAGGGTCAAGGGATCAAAGGTCAAGGTCACATTGACCTCTTTGGTAAAAACGGTTTCTGATCAATAACAAAAGAACCCTTAGGCCTAGGAACTTCAAACTTGGTATTGTGATTGGTCATGACCAGCAGATGACCCCTATTGATTTTGGGGTTAAGGGGTCAAAGGTCAAGGTCACATTGACCTTGTAGGTAAAAACGATTTCCGATCAATAACGAAAGAACCCTTAGGCCTAGGAACTTCAAACTTGGTATGGTGATTGGTCATGACCAGCAGATGACCCCTATTGATTTTGGGGTTAAGGGGTCAAAGGTCAAGGTCACATTGACCTTGTAGGTAAAAACGATTTCCGATCAATAACGAAAGAACCCTTAGGCCTAGGAACTTCAAACTTGGTATGGTGATTGGTCATGACCAGCAGATGACCCCTATTGATTTTGGGGTTAAGGGGTCAAAGGTCAAGGTCACATTGACTTTGTAGGTAAAAACGATTTCCGATCAATAATGAAAGAACCCTTAGGCCTAGGAACTTCAAACTTGGTATGGTGATTGGTCATGACCAGCAGATGACCCCTATTGATTTTGGGGTTAAGGGGTCAAAGGTCAAGGTCACATTGACTTTGTAGGTAAAAAACTGTTTCCGATCAATAACGAAAGAACCCTTAGGCCTAGGGACTTCAAACTTGATATGGTGATTGGTCATGATCAGTAGATGACACCTATTGATTTTGGGGTCAAGGGGTCAAAGGTCAAGGTCACATTGACGTCTTAGGTAAAAACGGTTTCCGATCAATAACTAAAGAACCTTTAGGCCTAGGAACTTCAAACTTGGTATGATTAATGGTCATGACCAGTAGATGACCCCTATTGATATTGGGGTTAAGGGTCAAAGGTCAAGGTCACATTGACATTGTAGGTAAAAATGCTTTCAAATCAATAACTTAAGAACCCTTTGGCCTAGGAACTTCAAACATGGTATGGTGATTGGTCATGACCAGCAGATGACCTATTGATTTTGGGGTCAAGGGGTCAAAGGTCAAGGTCACATTGACCTTGTATGTTAAAACGGTTTCCGATCAATTAACTAAAAATGCTTAGGCCTAGGAACTTCAAACTTTGTATGATGATTGGTCGTGACCAGCAGATGACCCCTATTGAGTTTTGGGTCAAGGGGTCAAAGGTTAAGGTCATGACCAGTAGATACTTGATAACCCTTATTAGTTGTTTCATCACTGGGTCAGAAGTCATAATAACCTTATCACATGACTAATTGGCTGCTGATAGGGGGCATACATGTTTTACAAACATATCTTGTTTATTTTAATGCAAATAATAATTTCTGTTTATTTTAGCGTTATCCAGTGGACAAGGCCTACTATATTGCCAAGGAGTTGCTAATGACTGAAAGAACTTACAAGAAAGATTTAGAAGTTATTACAGTGGTTAGTTTATTATAGTTATATTTTCAAATTGGCCATACCAGCTTATCTCAGTAAGGGGATCATCACATAAGTAATCTATGGGTTGATGGCTCGATACTCGGGCAAGGTGTACTTTCATCATGAGAATTGATCTTATTCATTGAGTTAAATGGTCATTTGTGGTCATTTGTCTATCAAAAGTAGTTTAAGAAACAGTGATTTATGTGAATGTGTTTGATTACAGTGGTTTAATAATACATATTTGATTTCAATTGTTGAAAAATATGAGTATAATAACAGTGGTTTAACATAAGATGTTTAATTACAGTGGTTTAACATATTAAGATGTAAGTTACAGTGGTTGAACATTAGATGTATAATAACAGTGGTTTAACATAAGATGCTTGATTACAGTGCTTTAACATAAGATGTTAAATTGCAGTGGTTTAACATAGGTGCTTAATAACAGTGGTTTAACATAAAATGTTTAATTACAGTGGTTTAACATAACTTAACATGTTTAATTACAGTGGCTTTACATAACTTAAGTTGTTTAATAAGAGTGGTTTAACATAAGGTGTATAATTACAGTGGTTCAAGAATGCAGTGAAGATAGGAGATACAATTCCTGACTTCCTCACAGACTTATTTAGATACATGGACCCTATCTACAACTTTCATCTGAATTTTCTGAAGGATGTTGAACAACGCTTGTCCCTGTGGGAAGGCAAATCTAATGCTCATTTGAATGGTGACTATCAACGTATTGGTGACATCATGGTTAATTCTTTCCTTACATCATTGGGGGTAAGTGTTTTTATATAGAGGTAACTTAGAGGCACTTAAATGCCTAAGAAAGGATCAAGTATTACCATCTTAAAAAAGGGCAAACTTGTTTTATTTTAATGATAATATAAAAGTTTTAGATATATAAGATGCTCATAGCTCATAATCTGTAGAAAGAAGTGCTCAGTGTGAAATTATTTGTAATAAAAGTAGGAAAATGTAAACAAAGTAATATTTTGACTTTCACACAAAAATATTAAATCAATGTAAATGTAATAATTGAAAAAAGCAAAAGATGGTTCAGGGAATTGAGCAATAAGTAACTTTTTGGAAATTATATAGGGCCCCAAAAATGAAAAGCTTTAGAAATAAAAACAAAAGCATATCTGGGGCCTAATGGGCCTTTAAAATTATATCATTCTGATTGATATCAAGAAATGTATCATATATTGAAGCTTTATATGGATGATTTGTATGAAAATAATATCTTAATGCAGATTGGTCATGAAAATGTGGTGGTTGTAAGGCTGAGCTCTTCTGTAAATGTTAACCGCCTCCATGGTCGAAGGGTTAGATTTGATAACTTCTAATCCAGTTACCTCTCTGGCGTGGGTTTGATCCCCGGGAGATGCTTTGGTAGTTTAGCACGGAGGTAGTCTAGTACTGGTGTAACTCTCCAGGAACGATGGTTAGGAAACTACCTGCCTATATGACTGAAATACTGTTGGGAAAAGGCGTAAAATGAAACAAACAAACAAACTTCTGTAAATGTTAATGTATAATTTACACTGTTGATTAGAATATATCTCATGTTATGTTTTGTTATTTACAGCCTTATATGAACTACCTGGAGAAACAGGATGACATTTTAGTAGAGTTGGAGAAGGCCCAGAAGACAAACAAAGACTTTGACTACCTGTGTAAGGATTTCGAGGCACAGAAAGTGTGTTATCTCCCCTTGACAACCTTCCTCCTCAAGCCTGGACAGAGACTACTACATTATAAACTACTCCTGGAAAGTAAGTGTGACACAAACATTTTAAAATTGTAACTGTGTATATGTCGGCATAGTGAATAAGTTGTCTATCTCTCAATCTAGGTATTTTGAATTTTAGGACCTTTTTGGAATCACAATTAAGTTTCATTAGTGTTGAATAAAATTAAATATATGCATTTGTGGGCTAAGAAAATTATATACTCGTGATAAATATATAAATTTGCAAAAGAAACTGGTTTGCAAAATAAATATTAGTGAAAATTAATCTGTTTAAAAAAAACAAACTGTTTTACAGTTTAACTTTATGAAATATTTTTGAAGAAAGTGATGTATAAATGATAATAATGTTACAGAAAATATAATTGAGATTGACATTTCAGGGTTGACTAGACATTACTCAAAGGCACACCCTGACTACATGGACTGCCATGGTATGTACTTAACATAAAACTCTAGCCTTATTATTTTATGATGGTAAACTTTGGCTCACTTGCCCCTCACGTATATGGATTTTAATCTTACATTGGTCATGTAATCCATTCATGTAAGAAACCTATTCATCTAACCTTATATTGAGAAATAACTTGTGTCAGTAATAATTAACAATTAGAATATATAGAGGATATTATATGAGTATAGATTCAATACTGGATTTATTGAACAAGTTAACTAATATTATATTATGCGAGCCCTGGCATTCAAAATATTGTTTAATTCAATGAGTTTAATAAATTTAGTAATAAAGCTACATGAATATAATATTCTCTTTATTGCATATCCAAAATAAATTTGAACAGTAAACAAAAATATCTTTTTCATTGACGCATTTACAGTGTAAAGCCAACATTCAGTCTTTCTGTTATGTTTGTATAACGCAAGTGACATCACATCACAATATATGCAGAGCTGTGCAATACCAATTTTTACGTTATAGAAATATTAAACATTATCTCTAACCTATTCATAAAGCTATATTCCACGATTCAAGTCAAGAGTAATAATTTTTCATTCAGTGGCAGGAGTTCTGTAAATGGTGCCCTTTGACACAGGTGTGACTATATATTAAAATAAAATGAACTCAGAGGTGGCCTATAACATAGGTGTGACTGAATATCCAATTCAAATGAACACAGAGGTGGCCTTTTACACAGGTGTGACTATATATCAAATTCAAATGAACACAGAGATGGCCTTTAATACAGGTGTGACTATATATCAAATTAAATAGAAGCTCAGAGGTGGCCTAAAACACAGGTGTGACTATTTTCAAATCAAAATGAACTCAGAGGTGACCTATAACACAGGTGTGACTATATATCCAATTCAAATGAACACAGAGTTGGCCAAGAACATAGGTGTGACTATATATCCAATTCAAATGAACTATTATTTTGGAATTAATTTTTTGACTCGCTTGTAAAACTACTATAAAACTTGTACTTTCAGCAACACTGACGAAATTAATAGAGCTTGCACAGACGTTCAGGTCTCAGAGGAAATGTATGGTGAGTGGAATATTTACAATCTGTGAAATCTCTATCAATTATTCATGTACATGTTTGTCTTCTTGTCTCTTGATTATACCCCCATAAATTACGTAAACTGATCCCGATATTGTTAGAAGAACTTTAGGGAAAATATATGATTATACAAGGTTTATCTGTGCGTATTTCATCAATATTCATACTTCTTTTATGCTTCCCAAAAGCATGTTGTTGGCTGGCACTTGATGTTTTCTGTAGCATCTTTGTTTACTAAATGATTTCTTAGATATTTTATATGTGGATACCTTTTATAGTACCAGCACCTACAAGGGAACACATCTTTTGGTCTTTGTTAATACTTGAGTTTTAGTTATTAAGTATTTTGTATGGAGGTCAAATAACCATTTTGTTTACATTTTGCTACTTTTATGACAAGTTGTTTTGCAATCATCGGTACTTTTATTTACATGAAAAGCATCTAACATGCTTTAAATCTATTAATTAGCATATAAAACATGTGAAATAAAACATATTTGGAAATAAGACATTATTTTGTTGTTTTTTTAAGAGGAAAAATTCTAGACATTTCTGATGCACAATGTACAATGTGCTTTTGAAGATAAAATCTTTTAATATTATTTATGCTAAAAATTTACATATTTGAGGCCTTAAGGTTAATTTAAAACTTTTCCCCAAGTTCTGCCTCAAATTTCAGGATTTTCATTGGTCAGTGTACATTCTATAAAGATTTCTGACCCAATCAATTTCCTGAGATCTAATTTTGAGATAAGATTAGATTTCTTTTTATCCTTGGACCAATTGTGTGAGTTTTCATATTTTGAGTTGACAGTGTTTTGTGATATAATCATTTTTTCTTTGTATATATATTTTCAGGAGAACCTTCAGAAATTGATGGAATTACAGCGTGACCTTGTAGGTCTAGACACTATTGTTCATCCTGACAGGGTAAGTTGTCTCTCCTATTGTTGTCTTGATCAGTATAAGACATGGGGGAAATATTGATGAGAAAAATATAAACAATTTTTGACAATCATTAGATGGAAATCAAATCTATAGAGTTTCTTATGAACTGAGACAATCAGTGTGCTTGCTGTGAGCTCGACTTAGTCGTTACTTTTGTCATATTTGTCTTTTATAGCTCATTCTTTGAAGGATTACAAAATAATTTGATACAAATGTTCACCACTATGTATTTCAAAAGATTGATTGTTATAATAGTGATTGACCAACAGTTGAAAATGTTTAGGATAAAGTGTAAAATACATTTTTAAAATAAGATAGCCCCTCTATTTTTAAAAATTGAACATTACAGGTTAATACCGGTGGATATTTACATATTAAAATTTTTTAGAAATTATGGCAAAATGTAAATTTATTTTACTTTGACCTGTTCACTCACTATATACCCTTTGATGGGCATAATGTCACTTTAATTGTACAGCTCATGGTGACGGACTACTTTCAGCTTGTCAAGATCATTGATATAGACAGGTTTCACTGTATCTGTTATAATGTTTAAATACCAAGCATTATTTCATATCATAAATCTTATCTTTTTAGCTCACCTGTCACAAAGTGACAGGGTGAGCTTTTGTGATCGCTTTTCGTCCGGCGTCCGTCCGTCGTCCGTCCGTCCCTCGTCCGTCTGTTAACTTTTGCTTTAAATGACATCTCCTCATAAACCACCAAGCCAATTTCATCCGAACTTCACAGGAATGTTCCTTTGGTGGTCACCTTTAAAAATTGTTCAAAGAATTTAATTCCATGCAGAACTCTGGTTGCCATGGCAACCAAAAGAAAAATCTTTAAATATCTTCTTATAAACAACCCTAAGAGCTAGAGCTTAGATATTTGGCATGAAACATCTTCTAGTGAGTGTCTACCAAGTTTGTTCAAATAAAAGCCCTGGGGTCAAAATTGGCCCCGCCCCGGGGGGTCATTGATTTTCCCTATATGCATATTGTAAAAACTAAAAAAATCTTCTTTTAAAGAACCGTAAGAGCTAGAGCTTAGATATTAAGCATTAAACATCTTCTAGTGAATGTCTACTAAGTTTGTTCAAATAAAAGCCCTGGGGTCAAAATTGGCCCCGCCCCAGGGGGTCATTGATTTTCTCTATATGCATATATTAAAAACTTAAAAAATCTTCTGTTAAAGAACCCAAAGAGCTAGAGCTAAGATATTAAGCATGAAACATCTTCTAGTGAGTGTCTACCAAGTTTTTTCAAATTAAAGCCCTGGGGTCAAAATTGGCCCCGCCCCGGGGGGTCATTGATTTTCCCTATATGCATATAGTAAAAACTTAAAAAATCTTCTTTTAAAGAACCATAAGAGCTAGAGCTTAGATATTTGGCATGAAACATCTTCTAGTGAATGTCTACTGAGTTTGTTCAAATAAAAGCCCTGGGGTCAAAATTGACCCCGCCCCAGGGGGTCATAGATTTTCCCTATATGCATATAGTAAAATCTTAAAAAATCTTCTTTTAAAGAACTCAAAGAGCTAGAGCTAAGATATTTAGCATGAAACATGTTCTAATGGGTGTCTACCAAGTATGTTCAAATAAAAGCCCTGGGGTCAAAACTGGGGGAGGGGGGCGGGTCATTGATTTTCCTTATATGTGTATAGCAAAAACTTAAAAATCTTCTTTGAAAAAACCCAAATAGCTAGAGTTTAGATATTAAGCATGAAACATCTTTAAGTAAATATCTACAAAGTTTGTTCAAATAAAAGCGCTGGAGTCAAAACTGGCCCTGCCCCAGGGGTGTCATTGTTTTTAACTATATGTGTATAGTAAAAACTTAAAAAAATCTTTTTTTAAAAAGCCCAATGAGCTAGAACTTAGATGTTTAGCATGAAACATCTTCTTATGGGTGTCTACCAAGTCTGTGGAAATAAACAAATAAAAGCCCTTGGGTAAAAATTGGCCCGGGGGTGGAAGGGGGACCTATATACAGGTGAGCGACCTCAGGGCCATCATGGCCCTCTTGTTTCTTAGCCTGTCAGTCGACCTTTTAAATCTGTAATGAGCTGATGTAACTGCAGGAAAAATACTGCAAGAAAGATAAATGACATAGATTGCATAGGTGAATGAATAGACTAATTTAACTAATAGTACAATATAATTAAATTTTGCAGGAGTTTATTCGGGAAGGTTGCCTACAGAAATTTTCAAGAAAAGGTTATCAACAACGAATGTTCTTCTTGGTAAGTAAATTACATTACAGTTTCTAATTGTGTAACTTGTTAGCCTTTTATATGCTTTGTACTTCTTGCTAATTGTTTAACTGGCAACTAGTAGTGAAAAGTTCAAGTCACTTGCCATCATAAATACTGTGCAAGGCAGCATCTTACTTCCAGTAGCAAAACCTCACACTGCCATTATCAAAACCTCTCATTTCCATTATCTAAACCCTCTCACTTCCATTATCAAAACCTCTGCCAAAAGCAAAACCTCTCACTTCCAAGAGCAAAACCTCTCACTTCCAAGAGCAAAACCTCTCACTTCCAAGAGCAAAACCTCTCATTTACATTAACAAAACATTTCAGTTCCCAAAACAACATTCAAATACAGGACCTCTTCCTTTCACAGCAACATTTATTCTTCAACACCATTCCTATGTGTAATTTTATTTTGATTTAAAAGTACAAACTTTTTATTTATGAAAAAAGGAATATATTCATATATATGAAACATGGAAGAAAGAGGGATCCTAGTTTAAGGTTACAAGTTGATGAAAATGATGTGTAGTAGGTATATAAAACAGATTTAAAATTTCATTTAAATATGCTTTGAATATTGATATGATCCTTTTAGAAATTAACAATGCAGGTTTCAATTCTTTGCCATTTACAATGAATTAAATTTTGATATTTTACAGTTTTCCGACATGCTGGTGTATACAAGTAGAACAGCCACGCCCCTTCAACAGTTCAAAGTTCATGGTCAGGTACCATTGAGGGGAATGATAGTAAGTCATGTTAAACATATTTGAGCCGCGTCATGACAAAACCCAACATAATGGGTTTGTGACCAGCATGGATTCAGACCAGCCTGCGCATCTGGGCGGTCTGACTAGGATCCATGCTGTTCGCTTACCAACTCTATAACAAGTAGAGAAACTGATAGCGAACAGCATGGATCCTGATCAGACTGAGCATGCGCAGGCTGGTCTGGATCCATGCTGGTCTCAAACCCATTATGTTGGTTTTGTCATGATGCGGCTCATTTACAATACTAGTGATAAAGTTCTATAGTATGTATTCTATGTAACAATATTTATTTATTCACATATCAGTAACCTAGTAGAATGGTTAACATATTTTTTGTTTCACTCAACAGTGGGGTAAAATCACTACTGTGTTCACCAATTCCTCTTTTCACCAGAAACCCAGTACTAGATATTTGAGGGTTTTTGCCAAAGAGTTGATCAAATAATGATAAAGATTTCTTTATAATAACTTGAATACATTAGGATTAAATTTAATGAAAATTACCTGCTAAATTTGCATAATCATGGACTTACATGTACCATGCTTTCACTTGTCAGTGTCAGTATCATTAAAAGTTAAAATTGTGATGACAGTGGCACATTCCCTTTCTCTTTATTGATGTATAGACTGGTTTAATTTATTTAAGTTGCACAATCATGCAAGTGGTTACTGCATTTGGCATTTTAATTACTGTACTGTGCTTAGCTTAATTGCACATTTAACAATTAAAGTTTACGCTTTGAACTTTGCATGAGGTTAGGAATGCTTTCACAATTTCTACTTTTAGACATATTTAAGGCTCTTAAAAAAAATAATTACATTAAGATAATGAAAAAGTCACATCTTTTTTATAAGGACTTATTTTTATTATTTATTTATTACATGCTTTTCAGTGGACAGTAAACTTACATTCTGATACTTTCACTATGAAATTATCAAAATATTATTTCACAGAAGTCTCACTATATTTGAATGTGGATGAATGGAATATGAAATGAAAATATTGTGAAAAATAAACTAAGTTGTACATAAAATATGATTATAAAACAAGAAGCACATAAGTATTTGAACATTTAAATGAAACAAAATTCATGAACTAATATTTTTCAACATGATCATTATGATGTCATTATTTGATGACATCTCATGAAGGAGAATTGTATGTGATGTTACATGCAAAAAAATCTGTCAAAATTAATTAAAATCACTAAAACAGCATGAAATCAATAGCAATTTTTTTTTTTGTGCATGTCAGATCACATTCTATTTCTTCCAGCCTTAACATGAAAAAGTTAAATCTTTATATTTAAATGATTGAATATTTAAATTTTTACAGATAGAGGAGTCTGACCATGCTAAGATGGCTGTTGCCAACAGTTTTGCTATATATGGTGGAAATAAATGTATTCTGGTAGCAGCTAGGTAAATATATCTTATATTTAATCTAGTCCGTCTTCTTTACTTTGAGTTTAGAGGTATTGGATATTTAGGAACGAAGTGAAATATTTGGGCCAATTACATGGGTATTGTTAAATAACATCTTATTTATATATGATGTTGAACTGCACTGCCAACTTTTGGTACAATTTCAAAAAATGGAAACATGTGAGGTAAAATCAGAATTTTGTTTTGAGAGATTATTATACTTTCTGTGCAAAACCCAGCCAAAAAAAGAAATATGAAAAAATATGACCTCTACTGTGTTAGTGTGATGTAAACCCAAACAAACAAACCAACAAATATATCTTAGAGAATAAGACGATGGCTTTGTTTTGGAGAGAAAGTTTAGGAACCTTATTCCCATTGTGTGTCATATATAATACATTGTGTGAATGCATTGTGTCAAATTTAATCAGAAATGTATAATTGAGTTGCAAAAAATGATGACATAAATTTCCTAGAATTCAGTACTCAAGAGATTCAAAGAAGACATGAAAATGACATAAAGTACTCATTAAAACTTGGAACATTTGGTCTCTCCAGGGGGTATTGATTCCATTGAAGTAAGGTAAATGAGTTAATTTTTTTACAGCTCACAGGAAGAAAAGGATAAATGGATAGAAGATTTAAACGAGGGGACGATTCAAGCCAAGTCAAGAAATGATGATAAACTGAACTATCCTAGTCTTAAATCAAGTACCAGTGAGTAGTGTTTTCTAATGGTATATAATTGTAATTACATGTACTATAATGTACAGTCAAACTTGTGTGGTCAAACCTGTGTTTAAAATTTCCTTAAAATAAGGGTTTGTTAGTATTGGTCAAATTTATAAATATATAGAGTCTAAGGTGCTAAGAGTATGTTTAAATCAAGAGTTTTCAGGAAAGACAAAGTTTTGTAATACAGCCAGACATCTGATATAGCTCCCAAAAGTTAAGACTCGCATTATATAACCAAAGGCCACATTTTTTGTACATTCCAAGATAGTTTTGTACATTTTTAGATAGTTTTTCGTTAAATTTCACCACTTAAGACATTGCAGTACAAAGTTACCTATTTAAAGGTAACCAGTCAGCAAATGATGTTTTTTCTTTTACCATTTTCCAATATTGGCATTGATATACAGGCTTGACAGTATTTTCTAAAAAAAAAATACGATTTGAGTGTTACTAAATTATGCCCTGTAATAACCAGTAAATTAGATTGTACTGCCTAAATGGTTAAGGTTGTTAATTTCAAACCATATGCCCTCCAGCCTGTAGGTCTACCTCCACTAGTAAAACTAGAAAGTTGCCATATGACCCTTACAATGTTTATGCAATGTAAGACACAACCTGGAAAAAGAAAAGATGTCTGCTTGATTCAACAATGATCCTAACATCTCCATTATATAAGCAGGAGCCTTCATAACTTCATGCATGCATAATTCCTCAAAAACCTTTGATCTTCAAGGTCAAATTTTCAATATTTAGGAAATTTTCACCATAACTATAGTATCAGATTATCACATTTACATACATTTCTTGTTGGTTATAGGATTCAGGTATATGCTGCTATGCATGTACTTTAAAACAAAAGATAATTTAGCTTCATTTCATTTCAATGAACACCATATGACCTTTACTGTGTTGGAGCAACGTTAAACCCAATCATGTAGAAGTGACTGATGTTTATTACATTTGCCAGGTTCTGCGGAGAATGCGGAGACCGGTGATGATCAGGGACCTCCGTCACCCGAGAAACAAGTTCAACATCGGGCAAATACAACAATGCACGTCTGCTGGCATCGCAATACTTCTGTCAGTAAGAGAGATCATGAAAAAGCTGTGAAGGTAATAAACATTTTCCAAAGGATATTTATATTATTAGGTCACTGTGGTGAAGTGAATAAAGTCCAGTTTGTTTATCAAAGCATCTACATCTTGACAAAGATCAAAGATATGAATTTGGCTTGAATTTTGAACTAAGTGGGGAAGCAACCCAGTAAGCTCGCAAAAGGTCACTATTTCTACCCAAGTGCTGACCTATGATGAGCTTTAAGCCTGCTGACAGCAAATTATTCTACACATTTTGAGCAGTTCAGACCAAGATCAAATGGCACATTCATGCTGTCTGCACTGTTTGTCATTCAGTGTGGGCATATTTTGATATTTTCACTGCAAAATGATGATATAAAGATTTGTTAAGATACTATGTGCAGTAAGGGATAAATGTCATTTGGGCATCTATGCAGCTTCACTGAAAACACTACCACATATCTTTTGAAAGTTTGTGTAACAAATGTATTAAAAAAAAACATCTAAAATTGAAACAGTTTGTAAGTTTGTAGATTCAAACAGATTGCTTATTAGAAAAAAATATTCACTATGTATATTTGAAAAATTGTCAATTTCAAAAAGTAAGTGACCTGAAAACGTTCCAATTTCTATTTTTTTTTGTATTATGCTGATGGAAATATTTTGGGGAAATCCTTAACTACCAAAGTTTTTAAAAAAAAAAATAATAAAGGGATGTAGATTGTCAGTCTGTCTTTAATTAGAACTGGAAGGATCTAAAATTAAGAGGATATTAAAATGTTAATTGAATTCAGGAAATGATATTTTATAATGTGCTAACTATCTATAAACTGCAAGGTTTGTAACAAAATGTGGTCAATAATTGAGGTAGAAAGTGTCCCAAAATTGAAGCAAACCTGTCATTTTCTCTACAAATATTTGACGTCTTGTCAGTTTCTCTTGGAAAATGGAATTTATGTCAGACAAGTATCAGATAATGATGGGTGTATTCTTTTACTGTATTGTTGAGAGGATTTGCATATTGTTACCTAAGTGCAATAACTGGTTAACTCCTATTAAATTTAGAAGGGCTTAACCCGTTACTGCAGTAAGGTGACAATATTCTTTCATGTAAATGCTTTTTAGTAGGTTCTTTAGATTTCTTTATTATGATACTTTAGATACTTCTCAGAGTATCATTTTAACAGCTGTTGAAATAAAATATGAATGAAATAAGTTGTGGAAAAAATTTATCTCAGAAAATATTTAAAATATGTTTCCTTGCTTATTTTGCATAACATATAATGTCTCATGCAGAACTGTCCTTTGTCCAGATTCTAGGACATTTGCCCCTTTGGTTATTTGCTCCCTTATTTTGCTATGGTGGACATTTGCCCCCTCTTATATGGTTTGAAATGGGAGTCATTTTTTATCCTAAGGGAATTTACAGACAGATGTTATTATCAAGATAATTCATCCACTCTTTTTTACCTTTACATAATAAATATCTTAAATGGACTTGCCCATCTTTTCATAGTGTAAAATTTTATTGAATCATAAAGCACAAATATTTCCTATAATAATGCATTTTAAACACTGAAAAAATAGTGACATTAATGAATTGAATCAAATCATCACAATTCAGCAACCAATCAAACTTACAGATAATTCTAGAAAGTAATCCATATGTTGCAGGCCAGTATTTACAAATAACAGATCTTTGCATGTTTCTGGTTGTGATGTTTTCTTTGTGCATAATGCCTTAAAGGAGTATTTTTCTGTGTATAAGGCAATAATTATTATAATGAAATCTTACGTAAACTTCATCCAAGCCAGTTTTGTTCTAAGTCCCTCGATAGTAAGTGAAACAAGGATAAATAATAAGAAAGCTTATTAAAAATTAATATTGATTCTTAAAGTGTATATTTGATATATTATTTTTGATATATTTATAGAATCAGCTGAGTGGTTATTTATTACGGAAGTTTAAGAACAGTAATGGTTGGCAGAAACTGTGGGTGGTTTTCACCAACTTCTGTTTATATTTCTATAAAACATATCAGGTAATGTATATGTTTCTTACATTTACTTTTAAACATTGCAACATTGAATGAAAAAATTCTCATTTTCAAGACTGATTCAAATTAAATCTAATTTTTATGTCGCCTTGTACTAAATAGAGGCGACATATATGGATCACTTCTCTGTTGTCTGTCTGTTTGTCCATCTGTATGATTTTTGTGTTTTCCTGCTATTAAGTAGCTGCAACATAGAATCTGCTATCATCAGGCAACATATGTGATCACTGATCACTTTTGTTATCAAATAGTTAGCTCAATAGAGAGATCATTGGATTAGAAAACTGAAGGAGTTGCAGATTTTAACGTTAGGTGAAGCGAAATTTCTCTCTGACAATTGATCTCAGACATGTTATATAATAATCATTTGTCTGTCACAGCATATTCAAAAATCATTCGCGATTAGAAGTCGTCATTTGTGGGGAAAATAGTGATAACTGGTTAGTTTTCCAGGAAAGCTGGTTCAGTGCATTGACTGCTGAGATATAACCAGAAATGTTTTAAAAAAAAAAAAAAACCAAAAAAAAAAAAAAAATTATGATTTTCAGAATATGCAATTTCTGCACACATTTTCAAGTTTTGGGGTAAATTCAATAGAAGAAAGTGAGTTAGTCCTAGTTATTAGTTTATCATATTAAAAATTTCAATTAAATTGCATTAATTATCAGTGGCATTTTTTAAAATTCAGTTTTTTTCGGATGATTACCTTTGGCTAGTTTCCCGTTTTTTAGGTTACGCTGTCAGCCAACAGAAGTTTAAGATAACATTCAAAAAGGATCATGTTTAAAATTTTACAGTTTAAAAAATCAGTGTACTTTTCCGTGCAGAACAGTACACTTCGAAAGTAACATGTTAAAAAAATTTGGAGTTTTTTTTTAAAATTAATAAATTCTATTTAAAAGTTTTTAAAAAAAATAATTTTTTCATTATTTTCTTTACAACCTAAAAAAATACTTCCAGCAGATATTTATGACTTTGTCAACATGTGTGCGAACTTTTTAATCTCCCAAAGTGGGTTCCATTCCCAGGCTGGCATAACTAAATTATCTTTCGGATGAGGCTTTCAATCGAGGGCCTGTGTATGAGTGCTTAAACACTTGGTATGTTAATAAACCAAGAGAAGCTTCTGGAATTGGTGCATCTTTCTGTAGCTTGCACTATCCTCCAAAATATAAAATGACTAATACTACTCTTCTGGACTTGTTCTTATGGGCAACTGGTGGTGAGTATAAATAAACTCAAATACACACACAAATAATTAGCCCAACTTTTGTACAATAGATGGTCTTTGAGTTGGTGTCATAGTCGGCAGAACAACTGGTTGGGGTTTTATGTGAAACTTTGAATCTCATTAACCACTTTGTAACTGTGAAACTTCACAAATAACTTACAGATCATAAAAGTATGTCTTTATGCTAATATGGGGAAAATATTATGGTTTTAGTATATATGTAAAATTAATAAACTGCTATGATTAAGAAGTGATATATAGAAATAATTGTTTTCATTATTTCTTTTACAAACCTAAAAAAATTACTATCCAGTCAGATATTGATGACTTTGTCAACATGTGTAAGATTTTTATTTCTTGCATATCAAACAGGATTATCTCCTGTTTACACTGTGCTAGAAAAACCTGACTTACACCCCCTGTGTAAGATCCTGTCTTACACCCTATGTGTAAGACAAGTTGTGTGCTTTAAATGACGTCATTTCCACAGGTCTTTTCTGAATAAATTGCATTCTTAGGATGACGTCATTATGCCATTATGAATGACGTTGTAAATTTGTACACTCCTATAAGAAAAAAGTGCTTTATGAAAATATTAGTTTTTGTAATATCTTTTTGAAATACA